TAACTTCCTTTTTTTTTTTTTTTTTTATGAGTTGGAGTCTCACTCTGTCGCCCAGACTGGAGTGCAGTGGCCACTCCCCGGCCACCACAGCCTCGACCTGCTGGGCTCCGACGATCCTTCCGCCTCAGCCTTCCAAGTAGCCGGAATTACAGGCATGCGCTACCACGCCTGGCTGATTTTTTGATTTATTGTAGAGATGAGGTCTCGCTGCCCAGGCGTGTCTCGAACTCACGGGCTCAGGCAATCCACTCACCTCAGCCTCCCAAAGGCGCGGGATTACAGGCTGAGCCACCAAGCCTGGCACGTGTTTCTTAACTTCTAATCGTAACTGTTGTTGTTTTGACCATTTTGACTTTCAGTCTTTATGCTAGAGGTTTGAAAGATATGTATAGCACCATTATAGCACTGAGTTAGTTGAGTGTAGTTTTAAATTTATGTCTATTGGTGGATTCTATATTTTCATGTGTTTCCATAATAGTAATTATTGTTCTTTCACCTTCAATTATATCACTCCCTTAAGCATTTCTTATAGGACTGGTCTAATGGTGGATGAATTTCCTTAGACAATTTCTTGTCTGGGAAGATCTTTATATCTTCTTCATTTCTGAAGGATAGCTTTGGTGAGTATAGCATTTTTGGCTGACACAAGTTTTCAGTATTATTTACCTGTTTTTTGTTTTGTTTTGTTTTGTTTTTCCTTTGGAGACAGTGTGTTGCACTTTTGCTCATTAAGAGTACAGTGATTAATCATAACTCACCGTAACCTCAAACTCCTAGGCTTCAACAATCTTCCCACCTCAGCCTCTCAAGTAACTGGGATTGCAGATGTATACCCCCCACCTGGCTACATTGTAAACATTTTTTTGTAGAGATGGGGTCTTGCTATGTTGCCTACATTGGTCCTGAGTTCCTGACCTCAAATAATCCTCCTGTCTTGACCTCCCAATCTCTGGAATTACAGGCTCTGGGATTAGCCACCACATTTGGCTAAGCAATAATTTGATGAAATAAACTTTTTATCCCTTTTTCTATCTTTTCTCCTTTTTAAATTTTTATGAAAATTTTTTGTTGACTAGGACTTCTTCACTGTTTTTCATTCTGATTTTTTTCCCCCTGACTGGTTGATTTCAAAAAGCTTGTTTTTACATCACAGATTCTCTCCTCTGTTCAATATAGTCTGTTCTTGAAGCTCTATTGTATATTTCATTTCATTCATTGAATTCTTCAACTTCAAGATTTTTCTTTGGTTCCTTTTTAAAATGATATCTATCTCTGTTGAATTTCTCATTCAGATCATGAATTGTTTTCCTGATTTCATTTAATTGCCTATCTCTGTTCTCTTATTCTCAATGAATTTCCATAAGATCATTATTTTGAATTTCTTTTCAGGCAACTCATAGCTTTTCATTTCTTTGGGGTCAATTATTGGAGAATTATTGTGTTCCTTTGAGGGTATCATATCTCCTTACTTTTTTGTATTTCTTGTGTTCCTGCATTGATAATCTGCACATTGGGTGGAATAATCTCCTCTTTCAAACTTTATAGAGTGGCTTTCATAGGGAAAAGCTTTTACTTTTGTGTTCCAGTTGGGTAGAATGTGGTGGCTCTTGTTCTGAGTGAGCACACTGATGTAGTTTCTGTGCACCTTCTTTACCTGCAATCAGTGCCAATGATGGACTTGGGTGCCTAAGTGGCTTAGGCTGCTAGAGTTTGTAGTAGCGGTATTGGCAACATTAGTTGTTAGTATCCTCCGTTGCAAGGACTTTGGGGGTCCTCCAGTTCATGTTTTCCCCATAACGAGGGGGTCCAAGCTGGGGGCATCCTTCTTGTCATCTATTCTCATGTGGTTTACAAACAGTTGGCAATCCAACCTGCTGAATTGCAGGTTGCAGGTACTTGAATTGCCTTTGGAGCCATGTTTTGAGCTTGGGACCTTGTGAAACTACTGTGGCACCTGGAATTTAAGCTACAGATTTATTTTCTGAGGCATGAATGGATGCAAATTCCCCACAAAGCCAGGGTCTGTAATACTGAAGCGCACCTCAGCAGCTTAGACCAGAGGGCATGGATGTAGTTGTGACTCTGACCCTGGGGAGCAGGACACAGCACTGGCGCAGTTTTGGAGAAGAAAGGGTGCCCCAGATGCTTGAACCCCAGGGAGTAACGTATAGCTACAATTTGAGTCTCAGAGCCAACAGTTCACAGCAGCAGTGTGGGCCCAGGGAAATGAGGCACTCTGGAGCCTAGGATGTTGGGACATAGCAATAGCCCAAGCTTTGTGAGGCCAGATGCAGTGACAGTTAGCTAGGAATGGCAGAATACAGCTGTGGCTTGGGTCCTAGGGGGCAGGAAGCAGCACAATGATGACTCTACTTCCCAGGGAGGTAGGGAAGCTAAGACTCTGGACTAGTTCAGTTCTAGGGAGTAGGGTGCTGCATCTGTTTGGCCTGTAGAATGGGGTGGCCCAGCTCAACCAAGGCTCCCTGGGATGTGGGGTACTGCATCAGTTTCAGGTACCATGGATGATCAACTGCTTAGCTAGACCAATGTACTAGAAGGTTGGATGCCACACCAGCTCAAGTACTGCTTCAGCTCAGGTGCTGGGGCTATGACTGAACTACTTGGCCAAGGCCCTTGTTCCTTAGGCCTTGAGGAGCAGCACACAGCAACAACTAGGATGGGGTGGGGATAGAATGACTCCACAGCAGCTTAACCCCAGGGATAGGGCATGGTAGCATCTTAACTTGAGGATGGCAGGCCACCAGGCAGGCATGGTGCAGTGGTGACAAAACCTCAGGGATGGAGGGGTGATTGCCTGCAGAGCAGGATGCACTCTCAGAGTGGCTCTGGTTTCAAGGTGGCATAGCACAGTGGCAACTAGGGCCACAGGAGTGGGAGAAAGTATTGGATTCTTCTCTTGGGAGCTCATAGCCATGTGGATTCTAGCAGTTCTCTCAGCTGAGCTTAGAATCTGTGAGGACTGCAGAAATCCACAGTGGTGAAGACTGTGGGTATCCATGGCGGTGATGTGGGAGATATTATTTACCTTTTTCGGTCAGAGAGAAGTCTCTCCTGGTTTCAAGCTGATACTGACTGGGGGATGGGGTGGTAGAGACAGGGTGTTTCCTTTTCTTCTTTGTTGACATCCTAGGTTTTTGTGTTCTATAAGATTTCTTCTACTCCTTTTCTGTACTACAGTGCTTTCCTTCAGTTGTTTTCTTCAAAACATAGTTGTGTATTTACTGTTTTGTTTGTTTTTGTTGGAAGGATGAGAGCTAGGAACTTATAGTTGGCCATCTTGCTGATATTACTGTTTTCTTATTCTTTTGATATCATATCTAAGAATCCATTGCCAGATCTAAGGTCGTGAAGATTTTCTCCTATGTTTTTGTCTAGGATTTTTATATTGAAGTCACTGATCCATCTTGAGTTAACTGAAGTAGGGGTCTACCTTCATTTTTTTGCATGTAGATAGATATTCAGTTGTCCAGCACCACTTATTGAAGACGCTATTGTTTTTCCATTGAATAGACTTAGCACCTAGAAAGTCAGTTGGGTAGCATAGATGTATGGGTTTATTTCTATTCTATTCCATTGTCTATATGTTATCCTTGTGATGGTACCATACTGTTTTGATTGCTGTAACTTTGTAGTAATTTCCAAAATTAGGAAGTATGCATCTTTTAACTTTGTTCTTCTTTTTCAAGTTAATTTGGCTAATCATGGCCCCTAGCAATTTCATATGAATTTCAGGATTTCTAAAAAATCCTAGGTGTATTTTCCCATTTCTGCAAAAACACAATGTTGGAATTTTGATAGATAGGCATTGGATAGTGTTGTCTTAATATTAAGTCCTCCAGTTATGAACATAGGTTATCTTTCCATTTATTTTGGTCTTTAATTTTTTTCAGCAGTTTTATAGTTTTTATTGTACAAGTCTTTCACATCCTTATTTAAGTTTATTCCTAGGTATGCTCTTTTAATTGGAATTATTTTCTTAATTTTCTTTCATATTATTCATTGCTGCCAGTTCATTTGTTTTGCATGCCTAGTCCTACAAAAAACAAAGTCAAGCCTTTCTGTCTCCCCACAGTAACTCTTTTAGAGTATTTCCTTTCTCTTCCTCCTCTACCCCCAATTTTTAAGAAATAAAATATATATATTATGGAAATTTGGGGAAATGTCAACATAAAGGTAATATAATCTATTGTTTAGTGATATGTTTTGTTAATATGTCAGTGTGTTTCTTTCTACATTTTTTTCTGTATAAATAAGCATTACAGTAAATATAGTAAGAATGAATAACGGTTTCTAAAGATGTCAGCTCCTAATCCCTGGAATGTATAAATGTTTACTTATTTGTAAACAAGGTCTTTGCATATTTGCAAGTTAAAGATCTTGAGATGAGGCGATCATCCAAGTGAGACCTAGTGTAGTCAAATGCATCCTTATAAGAGGGAGCCAGAGGGAGATTTCACCACATATAGAAGAAGAGAAGGCAATGTGATGATGGAAGCAGAGATTAGAATAATATAGCCACAAGCCAAGGAATGCTGGTAGCCACCAGAAGCTAGAAAAGACAAGGGATGGATTCTCTTCTAGAGCCTCTGGAGAGTGACCCTCTGATACCTTAATTGAGAGATACTAATTTTGGACTTCTGGCTTCCAAACTGTGAGAGAATATATTCCTCAGTTTTTAACCACCTAATTTGTGGTAATGTATTACAGCAGCTGCAGGAAACTAATACAGATTTTGGTACCAGTGTGTGAGGTGCTGCTGTAACAAATATTTAAAAATGTCATAGTGTCTTTGAGATTAGACTGTGGGTAGAGGCTAGAGGAATTTTGAAGTGTATGATAGAAAAAGCCTAGATTTCTCTGAATAGACTGTTGGTAGAAATATGGATATTAGAGGCTCTTTCACTGAGGGGTCAGAAGGAAATGAGGAGTATATTAGAGAAAGCCTTTATAGTCTTACAGAATACATATGTTGTTATGAACAAAACATTGGTAAAAATATTATTAAAGGTGTTGGTGAAGGCTTAGAAGGAAGTGAGGAATATGATATTGGGAACTGGAAGAAAGGTTATTCTTGTTATATAGTGGCAGAAACTTAGCCACACAATTATTTGCCAGTTGTGTGGAAAACATAACTTGTAAGCAGTGAACTTGGATGTTTTTGCTGAGATTTCTAAGCAGTGTGCTGAAGATAGAGCTGGTTTCTTCTTGATGCGTAAGAGTAAGAGTTAAATTGAGGGATAAATGCTAAACAGGCAAAAAGACTCTAAATCCAGGATTTGATGATTTGAGAAATCCTCGGCCTATTGAAATTGCAAACGTTCATAGAACTAGGAGATTCACTCTGAGGAAAGCCTATTCTGGAGAGTAGGTTAAGGGCGTGGTTGGACAACTTTAGCTAGTATTGAAGGGATTAGATGTATGACAGTATGGATGCATGCTATGATTATAGCAGAAGGCCTATAGAAATAGAGAGATATTATCCAAGGAAGATCTGTGGAGGACTTTTTTGTCTAATGGTATAGTTCCTTGTGCCATCGACAGGATACCCACAGGGTATTTGGAAATGTTAAATCAGAAGAAACACTGCCAGTTTGGACTGAAAAGAGAGAGACAGGATGAAACGAAAGAAAGCTGTCAGACTCCCAGAATTCTACAGGTTGGAAGCAGGCTGATGAAACTGCTCAGCTGCACACTTATGCTATCCTTCAAAGAAAAGGAAAAATGACTTTATGGTGGGAGCTATAGACCCACAGGCTGGAGTCTTGGGTTACAGAAGCCAGAACCATGAGTGTAGAGGATGGAGCTGCAGGCTTATGGGTAGAGCCTTAAGCCCAGGCCTTTAAGCCCAGTGGAATTTGTCCTGCTGGATTTTGAAATGGCTTGGGACTGTCGAACTCTTTCTTCCTTCTGTTTTCTCCCTTTTGGAATGGGAATGTCTGTAACTCTTATCCTTTACCTATTCTACCATTGTATTTTAGAAGCAGATAACTTCTAGTTTCAGAGGAAACTAATATAATAAGAATTTACTAAATGCATTCTGATCTTCTTAACAAATCTCATACTCCACTTTAAAATGAACTTTTCCTAAATTTTAACCCTTCTATAATGCTTTGCCCCAATTTATTATCTAGATTCAGCACTTAAGAAAATGCAGTCCAAAATGGAAGATGTGTATGTCAAAGTGATACTCATAATGAGGCAATATGGTGCAGAAACCAAGCTATTAGAAACAAAGGCTCGGTGGCTCAGCCTGTAATCCCACGCCTTTGGGAGGCTGAGGTGAGTTGATTGCCTGAGCCCGCGGGTTGGAGACCCGCCTGGGTGGCGAGACCTCATCTCTACAATAAATAAAAAAATCAGCCGGGCGTGGTAGCGCATGCTTGTAATTCCGGCTATAGGGAAGGCTGAGGCGGAATTGATCGCCGGAGGCTAGCAGGCGAGGCTGCGGTGGCCGGGAGCGGCCACTGCACTCGTCTGGGCGACTGAGTGAGACTCCAATTCAAAAAAAAAAAGAAACAAAGAGTAGCAAAATAAGATCAAAGCAGAACAAATCCATTTTTTTATCTTATCCTTTTAAAATTTCAATTTTGTATATATTTATAATACAGCTATGTATGTATAATACAGTTATCAATGTATGAATTGATAAGCTTACATTATGGAGTGCCTTGAGACTTTTTATTATCAATAAAGATATACAATAAAAAAAATTTAGAGATCACTGTTCTAAAACATAAATGTTAACCATTTATATTGTTAAGTGAGATCCAGAATGCTGTTGCCCAAACCTAACCCTGGTTTGAACTAAGTCCTTAGCTTGTAATAATTAAGTACATTATTTGTGTTTAATAAAATGACTTGTATGAACCCTTAAACTTATCATATTTTGCATTGTGGCATTCTAAGAGATTATCATTTATCTCTTCCTACATGTAAGCTTAGAGAGCTAGACAATGATCTGTTACTGAGATTTAAATATGTAGCAGATATATAATATAAACATTTTGCTTATTATTTGGTAGCTTAGCATCTTATTTTAGACTTTATAAGTTCAGCATTAATATATTAAGATATTAGCTAAAACTAGAACGTTTTTCTGGAGTTAGCTAGGTGATATGCTTGAGCCAGCTCTTACTGTTTTATGAGAGCCAGTTGTATGCATTTCTTCTCTATTCCATGCAGCAGCCTGCAGTTGACCGTGATGGGAGTATTTACACGATGGAAATGGGCAAATGTTACAAATCAGGGCTTGTTTTTCCTTCCCCCACTCTGCCCAGGTACTTGTTTAATACTGTAAGGTTTTTCAAGGCTAATTCCAAATCATACTGTGGAGCATGAGACTTTCAAATCCTTTTGTGAAAAAGTGTTATGTGGTCAAATATGTTTCTGAAATATTGTACATAGAACTGTATTCTCTTTGTCAAAAAGTCAGATTATGTATGAACATTCTGTAATTTCTAATACTTTGTGCTGTGAGAAAGGGTATTTAGCTTTATATAACTTAGTACTTTCAAAACTTTTTAAAGTGTATTCACAAAACTCAATTTTGTATTAACATCTATTAATAGCCCATTAAATTAGTGTCTTCCAGAGTACTCTTTTGAGGAAAAGATAGAGATAGATCACGTTTATTACTTGCTGACTTAATATGTGTTTTATTTTCAGCCCTTCCAAGGTAACCCTGCTGGGATCAGTTATCTTCACATTCCAGCACACCAAGCATCTGGCAATGTCAAAGCATAATCTTATGTTCCTTTATACCATCTTTATTGTGTCCACAAAGGTAAGAGTTCAAGGTACCTATAAATCAGTATTTCATATCCTGTATAATCAGTCCTTTTTGATAGAATTCTGCATACTGGGCAAGTGACAGGAACATTTAAAAAATTATCATAGTCTAAAAAGATGAATGGGGGGACTATTTAGCACACCCTTGACTTTCTGAAATACAGCTTTTCGGTGATTCCTTATTTGTTTTATGCTGAGGCTATCAGGAAACACTTGGAGGTAGCCTAGTAGTATATTGGAAACCAGAGTGTAATGGAAGTAGCCAAGGCTGATCAGAAACTGCATTTGTAAAATGAGATACTTGGGGCAGATACTGTCTGAGTTTCCTTTATCTTCTAAAAATTCAGTAATTTATATTGGGACATATTTATGGTCGATCTTTTCTATTAATATTGCCTGGGTGAAGGCTTCATTCCTTCTTGAAAACAAGTAGTATGGTGTAAGACCACGTTTTAGAGACAGGCGGTCTTGGATTCAGATCTTAATTTTGCTGTTTAATCCCTGAATCCCAATTTTCTTATCTTCATTGTATTATTGATGAGAGGATTGGAGAGGTTGCATATCCTTCTATCACTATGTCTGACACATTTTATGAATTTTATTTGTAGCCATATCATGAGGCTAATTCTGATTATTCTTACTGTTATTAGGTATTATGTCCCTATTCAAAAGTAGATGATTGATTTTTAAATAAGTTTATAATTTAAGCCTAGAAAATTTTTTAACTAGGTATTTTTGACTAAAGACTTATCTGTAGGATTTTAAAAAGGAAAACAGTATAGATTATATACACATATATTTTAGAAAGAATCAAGTCATTATAGGGATCATTTATTTTTGTTTCAGTAATCTCTGCAATGGAGATGATCTTTGGCTGTAATTCAAGTAGTTCAAATATCTGAGGCAAAAATCTTCATATGTGCTCTCTTCCACGCTTCAAATGTTGAGCTGTATTTTTTTAACAGCTTTATTGAGATATATTTTCCACATCATACAAAAGTGTACAATTGAATGGTTTCATAGAGTTGTGTATTCATAGAGTTGTGTGGTTATCACCACAATCAAAATTAGAACATTCTTATCACCAAAAAAAAACTTCATACCTATTACCAGTCACTTCACATTTTCTCCAGTACCTCCAACCTTAGGCCATTTTATTTATCCCTTCATTGTTGATAGGCATTTTGGTTATTTCACTTTTTGACTGATGGGAATAATGAACTATGAACATCATGTAAATGTTCTTGTGTGAGCATGTGCTTCATTTCATTTGGGTGTATCATCTAGGAATGGAATTTTTAGAACATATGGTAATTCTATGTTTAATCTTTTTAGGAAATGACAGACTTTTTTTCCAAAGTGGCTTCATCATTTTACATTCCCACCAGCAATGTAGGAGGGTTCCATTTTCCCCACACCCTTTATGCTGGTACATGGTATTATATGACTTTTTTATTATAGCCACCCTAGTGGTTGTGAAGTAGCATCTCATTGTGGTTTTGATTTACACTTCGCTGATGATTGAGTACCTTTTAATGTGCTTGTTAGCCATTTGTATATCTTCTTTGGAAAAATATCTCTTAAGATCCTTTGCCCATATTAAATTGTGTTGTCTTTTTGATATTGAGTTGTAAGAATTCTTTATGTATTTTGGATACTAGAATCCTATCAGACTTAAGATTTGCAGATATTTTCTCCCATCCTGTGAGTTTTCTTTACACTTGCTAATGTCCTAGGAAGCTCACATTTTAAAAATTATGATGAAGCCCAGTTTACCTATTTTCTCCTTTATTGTGTATGCTTTATGTGTCATATCTAAGATATCATTGCCAAATCCAAGGTCATGAAACTTTATGTTTTCTTCTGAGAGTTTTAGTTCTTATATTTAGGTCTATGATCTTTTTTTGATTTAACTTTTTGTATATGGTATGAAAGGGTCCAGCTTCATTCTTTTTACATGTTGATATGTCACTGTCCCAGCACTATTCTTTTCTTCATTGGTCTTTACAACTTTGTTGAAAACCAGTTGACTGTAAATTTGAGGGTTTATTTCTGGACATTTGATTTTATTCTATTTTTATGTGTGCCTGCCTACTTGTATGGTAATGCCTCTAACTTTTAGTTTTGTAATTGAGAATTGTGAGTTCTCTGAGTTTGTTCTTTTTTATCTTTTATTTTCCAAAATTGTTTGACTGTTCTGTCACTTGAATTTTTATATGAACTTTAGGATCAACTTAACAATTTCTGCAAAGAAGCTAACTCGTATTTTGATAGAAACTGCTTTAAATCTGTAAATTAATTTGGGAATTCTTAACATCTTAACAATGTTGTTAAGTCTTTAATTCGTCAACATAAGATTTCTTTCCATTCATTTAGGCCATCTTTTTCATTGAATTTTTTTCAATGATGTTTTTAATGTACAAGTCTTACGCTTTTTTTGAAATTTATTCTTATTTTATTCTTTTATGCTATATTAATGGGATCGTTTTAAAAGATAATTTTCAAATTGTTTATTATAAGTATGTAGAAATACAGTTGATTTTTATGTATTGATCTTGTATCCTGCAACCTTGTTAAGCTTGTTTATTAGCTCTAATAGGTTTTTAAGGTGAATTACTTAAGAATTTTCACATTCAAGATCATATCATCTACAAATAGAGATAGTTTTACTTCTTCATTTCCAATATGCATGTCTTTAATTTGTTTTTCTTGCACAATTTTCCTGGAAGGGACCTTCAGTACACTGTTGAATAGAAACGTGAGGATGCTTACCTTTTTCCTGATCTTTGGGAGAAAGCATTTGGTCCTTAACTATTAAGTAGGAAGTTGGCTAAGGAAGAAGTTGGTTTTCCAACTCCTATCTTGTTGAGTGGTTTTGTCATGAAGAAGCATTGGGAGCTGTATAATTTTTGAATTTCTGACTTTAGTCTTTAAAGAAAATGAAATGTGTATTGTAGGTTTGGTAAGATTGAGTAGCACTGGTGTCTTAAATGTTTTTGAAATACAGCATCCGTTTTTGTTCAAGGCCAAAATTGTGGAATAAAAATGATAGTTTTTCTTAAATTGATGCTAGACATACAGTTCTTTATTATAACACAAACTTAAATACCATATTGCAATGAAATAATTAAAAAGACATTTCAAAATAGAAAACACACAATGTTGAACTTCTTTTATAATCTTCCCCATTTTCCTGATTAGAAGTATATCCACCGATTTCTAAATTGAATATTCATTTTTAACTCATTACTTCACCTAAATTCCATTTAGATTTTACTGATATTGATAATATGTACGATAATTTTAATCATAATGACTTGAAAGTGACTTGTCATTTAAATGTTTCTGAGTAGCTACTATAGTGTCTCCTTTTTTAGAAATAAGTAATTAACAGGAATACACAAATATTTGGCAGTAATTATTTTTCTTTACTTACTCTTTTTCCCCCTATATTACTTACGAGGTTGGAAAATTTGCATTGGGTATTTGGTTTGGGTAATAATCTGATGTTTTGACTTATACATAGATACTAATAAAGAGAATGTCTCCCCAAAAGTATGACAAACACAAAGACAACTATAATACATGTATAAAAATAGTGGAGTTCCATAAGAGAAACAGAAAATAAATGTCCCCTACCATTGCTCAACCCGTGGTGTCTCTGTTGTCATCCTAACCCAATAGAAGCAGCTCTGTGATAAGCCTTAAGCAGTTTCTCTTCACGTGTAGAACCTAGCTCTAAGCCAAAACTTGTAGCATCATCTCATGTAGATATCTGGAATCCCCTCCTCTGATCTCTCTGCCTGCTCATCTTCCTCCTCTTGGGTACCTGCCTCTGCAGATTATAGTAACTTTAGCTGCACTAAATATCAGTCTCTGCCACCTAAACTTCAATTCCAGCTCTTTGCTCTCTGATTGAGAAATTGTTCGTAAGCAGAAGTGGGGTTAAATGTGGGGGTTGCTTCATGAGTTTACCTTTTCTCATGAGTCAGTCTTACACTGAAATCCAATGTCTGATGATAGTTGCCTTGGGTACATATTTTGTCAAATTTATGTTTTTTATACCTGGAGGGCTAGTCTAGAATCAGTTATTCTGTCATAGCAAAGGAGGAAGTTCTTTTATTTTTTCTTGAACAATCTTGTCAGAGTTTTATCTGTGTGTTTTATTTTATTTTACTTTTTTTGAGCCAGAGCCTTACTCTGTCACCCAGGCTGGAGTGCAGTGGCATGATCACAGCTCATACAGCCTCATCCTCCTGGGCTCAGGCAGTCCTTCTGCCTTAGCCTCCTGAGTAGCTGGCAATACAGATGTGTGCTAATTTTTTGTGTTTTTTTGTAGAGATGAGGTCCCACTATGTTGCTCAGGCTGGTCTTGAACTCCTGGGCTCAAGCAGTTCTGCCTCAGCCTCCCAAAGTGCTGGGATTATGCCCAGTCTTAAGTCACATGTTTTGATTTATATATGTTTGTTGTCATTCATTTTAAATTTCTTCTGATTTGCATTGCAGTTTCTTCTTTGACAAAGAGATGTTTATAAGTATGCTTTAAAATTACCAAGGATTTAGAAAAAAATATTTTCTTAAATGATTTCTACTTTAACTGCATTTTGAATAGCATATATATAGGGTTGTATGTTATTCTCTGGTATTCTTTGAGACTTAATTTCTGTACTAATATTGATGAGATTTTGGTAATTATTAATATATATGTAATAAAACATATACTTTATTTTAGGGGTATAGGGCATCATATTTATGTACATAAATGCATGTTCATTATGGTTAAAATATATAGCTAATTAATTTTTATCTTACCCGATCTACTAAATTTCTTCCTGCTTAATAGAAGTATATTAATTAGCCCCCTCCTTCCTTCTTCTTTTCTCTCCTCCTTCCCTTCCTCCTGTCCTTCTAATCTTACTTTCTTTCCTTCCAGAACTCAAGCAAGCTGAGCAATAGCCCTTGTGGGGTCCCAGTTTTATTCAGGGAGGACTCAGT